ACCCTGACTCGTTGAAGTCGTCTAAATATATAACGTCTTTATTGTCAGAGACTGAGACAAGTAGAAATAAGTTTATCAAGGATCGTCTCACACTGCAAGAGATGATGTTCACCAGACTGCAGATTTACAACGCAAAAATACACACAACTATTTCTAATCTTTCTTTTTGTACATGTCAATGCGGGAAGCCCCGCCTGTCTACACCTCTTCGCCATAGCGGGAGGTTAGTCTGAAAGAACTAACTAACGCAAGAGACGGATCAACTGTTATTGTTGCAGTGTCCCGATCAACGGCTTCAGTTTAACGTGTCCAGGGAGTCGAGGCTCATCGAGAGACAGCGAGTGAATCAATGCACAAAAGTGCCATTGTGAGCAAATACAGTCAGGTTTAGGCAATAGAACCGGTATTAAATCTAAATTTCTTTACAACACGGAATTGAGGCAAACCATTCCCCAGCTGTAGCCAAAAGGAACAAAATGATGGGTACTTTTCAAATGTAAATAGGATTTAGTTTCATCTTACCATATGGAGTGTGATTGCCAGTCACTGGATAAATTATACAATGGAGAAAGTGATGATTTGAGAATTGTAGCAAATCCATACTTTAATTTCAACTTCACGTTTTAAAATGGTGCCAATACTCTGGCAATCCACTAACCGCGGGACATGAAAGCAAAGAACAGGAGTGAAGGCAGAGAGGCAAAATTAACGACAGACCTTCCTTGGAAGAATTTACCCCGGTCAAACACATAGTGAATTTCATGACTTTGTCAAAGTGATAAAACCAGTTTCAAATCATAGATCAGACCCAGATGAACGTCATCGTTTCTTTTTACTATTTTTAACAAAATGCAACATTGAACTTCCATGCTTCAAAAAGTTGTGCACGTTTAGACCATTAAAAAAGTAGTCCTCACATAATAATTACGACTGTTACAACCGCTTCAGTGTTGAGTTTGAATTTCATTATTGTATAGCTGGACAAGTATATGCTTAAAATGATACTACGGAAAATGCAAATTGTGTTAGACATCTTTCACCAATCCTTGATGATATACTCAAATATTATGTTCTTCTAAACACAGTGGTAGGTGTTTCGGTTATTGTCAGAGATTACTTTGTTGCTACGTCTGTATTCTGCATTTTTCAAATTTCGTGCAGCTTGTAACGCAGTGGTAGTATCCCTCCCAAGTCCCACCTTACCCCAGTAGATGTGTTAGAAACACGTCCAAAATAAAAACTGCGGAAGTGGTTCCAAACTCTGGTGTACAAATGCTTCATTTTCTCTAAGTACCTCAAAGTTGGCTAAGCCACATTTAAATAGTGAAAGATATAGTCGTCAAGAAGGAATTTACATTTTTTTTTCTGCAGTAACTTCAGCCAGAATCTTGCTATTCAATTTGACAAATACATCATTCGGTAGGTACTAACGGTTCAATTTTAAGTCAAGATTGTAAACACTGTTTCAAAATTTACGGGCTTATACAAAACAATTGATTGGTTTAAATACTGTTAATTAACAGCAAATATCGATGCCTTCTAGCATCAAAACATAAGGTGAAAAAGTCTAACTGGCAGGAGTTTTTGAAAGTATACCTGTCCGGAATACCTGGGGTAAAGTCTGGATCTTGGCAGTGAAAACCGCACTTGGAAACAGGTTATGTTTTTCTGAATTGATCGAACAGGGAGATTATGTCAGGTCTCATTATTTAAATACAGAGATTATAAACATCATTCCACCTACGATAATCAGCCATTAGTGTTAGATTTGTTGAGACATACATACTCTTTTTTTGTGTAAGATAATAACACGCAGTTCAGATTTTTTTTGCCTTTAACGTTTGCACACACCAGAAATTAAGACAGGGTTGTGCACTGTAGATTACAAACACGGGGACACAGGACTGGTCGTTCAAATTGAACGCTAGTCTCAGATTATCTAACAACAGGGATAGAACTTTACCTAATAAAATGTTACAAGTTATAACGTTGGGCCCATCACACCGTATCCGTAATTATCTCCAAGGCTGCCGGTGAACCTCTACAGGGGTTCTGCAACGGAGCTTTGTGGAAATCTGAATGATGGAAAATGTCTCATTAACTTCAGCGCATTAATCTGTGAGTAGTTACTCGTCAGCCCAACAACAATTTAAACTGTGCACAAAGTCCGCCCAGAAATAATTAATTTATATCAATAATCACCCGGAACGATCAAAATTGCAAATGAATAAAAAAGCGAAGGATACAACCAGGCTGAAAGCAGTCAATGGTAACAAATTATAAAGAAGACTTTCAACAATTTAATTTGGCATGTTTACGTTCATATATTTCACACTCCTCCCGAAATGATAGTTTATTTAAATTCATACTAAAAGTTTGAGTTTTTTGTTTAAAAATAGTTTAAGAAACTCGAGAATGATCATCAGTCTGGCAGATGTAAACTGACAATCTCCAATGTGAAACAATTTAAGCAACTTTCCGAACTCGTGACAGCTCACTGAATTGTTTCCGGATTTGTGGCTATTTCTCATAAGCAGTTGATCCTGCATTAAACGGCCATTGTTCTATATGATATGGTACAGGTTGTAAATGCGGGATCACTGTTACTGAGATTCGGAGCTCAAAGAGAGTTTTTTTTAAAAAGTTGACACTAGCGTCAACTCCTTTTGACATCTGTAAAACTCCGGTTGGTTTCGAGAAGTCTTTTAGTCCAAGTCTGGTTAAAAAGGGGAAATTTCGTTCCAGTCAAACCCTCCGATTCAAAATAAATTCTGCCTCGTGTTAACTTAATAGCAGGAGAAACCGTTTATTAAAACAATTTGTCCGAAATGCTGGTTACGCACATGGTAAACTTTAAACCAATGCAATCTGGGCACATCAATTCTAATTACTGACAATAAACGAAGACAGGTCAGTCAGGGATTGAACGAATGTCCTCGCCCGCCCCCTCAAATAGGGACGAGATGACTGCAAAGGCTCACTGAGTAAGGGGGTGGGAGCTGTGAGAGGAGGGTGGGATGAAGTGGGCGTCGCTCCGCCACTTATTCCCTTTCTTAGGCCTTTTGCTGAGGTCAATTTGTTTTAAACGCGATTTTATTAGTGGGGAAATCAGCAAATCATTCTCCAATTATAGAAAGCCAAAACAAATGTGCCCTGAGGCTGTTGCATTCTGGAGTCTATTCACTTGAAAGCATCATGCGACTGCGTGCCTCGGGGGGAGGGGGGTGGGGGGGAAACGATTATTTTATTCCGAACGTATGGTATTGCTCGTGTGTAACGTGATTTCTACCTTTCTAACCGCGGCTCGGTGTTTTCCTGGGCACTGCAAGACCACCCCTCCCAAAATGGGAGACAGAAAATGACTGACTGCTGTCAGGGTCCCAACAGAAAGGAAATTCCTTTCTTGTTGTTTGCAACTTCATTTAGAAAGCGCCGTGCGCTTTGACAAATGATGCATCAGTAAGGAAACTCCTAGACTTTTGGGGAGTTTTGTTTTGAGGGTTGAGGAGAGATCACACCTTGATGACTACATCAATAGTAATAATATCCAATTGCTTTAATGAGCGATGATCATTGGTTGCTATCTTCTGACCGCGATATTTGAAACAATTTCAGAGGATGGCTCTAGAATGAATCCCACATCTCTTTGTATTGGCGGTGCTAGGAGTTGGACATGACTCGATCGTTTTGTCCTTGTAGCTAAGTGAGGAAGGGTTTAGTCACCGCGCACTACAGCAAGATCAGACACCGTTCTGATGAGCTGGGAGTGGGAGAATGGGAACTAAATGCTCTCGGTTTTCATTACCACTCGGTTCCCCTTTTTAGATCGCACAAGGTGAGGATGTAGTTGAGATTACGGCTGCGATCTCTCGCCTTGAAGATGCTGGCCTTGGCGTTTTTTTCATATATTCGCTCCAATTGCTCCCGCTGAGCAGCCTTACGCCTGCTGTCTGGCGGAGGCCGTGCTTTCAAGCGTTAATGCTTGCCCATAACAGCTGCCAGACTGGGACAAGTTCCCGTTTCCCAGGCAGCCCTAACAAACCATCCATTATGATGTGTTGTTAACTATTCAGGGAAAGAAAAGATGAGTACCCACAAGATACTGGACTAACTCCCATTTTTTAAAAAAAGACCTACATATAGAAGGCTTGAGATATAACATGAATAAGTGCTAATGTTGTAAGCCAAATCGTGCTTTTTTTAAAAAAATCAGTGATGAATTGCATCTGTATTTCCCAGACTTCCTTCCCAAAATGAAATCATCAAACTTCGCTGAACTAACCGATCGCTGTTATCTGCCGCCTAAAACCGAGACTTTGTAATTAGTTCGAAATCGCAATTTCAACTCCCATCGAACTGTTTTTCGGTGAACGAACAGGGGATCGAGTATCACAGTCGTTTGCCTAATAAACCAGGTCCTGCGTTGGAGCCCCTTGCAATTAGCCACAGCAGCAAGCCAGACTTAACACTTTGGCTCTCCCTCTTTGTAATTAGATCTCACCAGTAACCCAATTGCAAAGTTTCATTCGCAAACCACTAAAATTGCTAACACGTTAACTCATTCGCCTACTTTCTTTTAAAAAAAGAAAGCTTTCTTTTTACATTGTATGTCGAAAGACAGAAACCAAACTACAGAATCAAACACTAGTTTACTTGATCTAAGTATTTATTTGATTGAAAAGACTGCATGAAAATGAGAGGAAAAAAATTGTATGTACTGTACTAATGTTTTAGACGCTTCCAACCCGGATTTCTCAGACAGCAAACAATAAATACGCATAAATCACCCCCAAGTCCTTGAAATGTACACTTCCCACTATTCTGGTGCATGCCACGTTCAGATAGAAAGGTCATGAGAAATCAGTGCAAAAGTTTCAACTCCATTCCCCTTCTCTCTCACATTAGGGCAGAGTCCGTCTTGTGTCCCTCTCGCGGCTTTTTCAGTCCTATGCTTTTTTTTGTTTGTTTTCACCCTTCTCCTGTTCCCTCGGTTTTGTTTTTCACCGGGGGTGTGGTGTTCCGGGGATAGGGTTGGGCAAGGGGTTGAGTGCGGGCTGTCCTGCCGGTCCCAGCCCGTGGATCAGGACCCTGGGCACAAGCGGCCGCTGCAGCCCGGGATGAGGCGGTGGAGTCCGGTACATGTACATTGCCGCCGCCGCCGTTGTGTCCATGTTAGTTAGCAGGCTAGGGTGGTAGAAATACGGAGATGGGAACATTCTCTGCAAAGCGGAGTAGTTTCCGGCCTCTGCTAGGAGCTCCAGTCCCACAGCTGTTTGCCGCTTCCATTTCGTCCTGAAATAAGGCAGAAAGGAACACAAAAAAAAAGTGGTTACGAATGGCGAGCAAAGCTTTGTAATTACACATTGCAAATAATCCCTAGGTGAATAGGAGACCAAATCCCCAGCCACGGAATTTATTTGAAGTTCGCAGAATGCACTTCTTGCACTGAATTAAAGCAGAGGGTCGAATAATTTCAGATTTGAATCCGAGTATTGAAGATAATTCTTTACAATTGATGGACCGAGGAAACCCATGTCGGTTTTGTTTTATATCTATTTTGAGCAGCTTGGAACTTCGATTTATTTAGAGAAATAAAATATGCCCGTCGGATTGCTGTGTGCAAAACAGAACGAGGAGTTCCAGGTACAAATGTAGCAGTGGTTCAGTGACATAATTGCGAAGCTTCATCCAAGCAATTAACAACAAATTTATTTTATTGTAATATTAAAAGGAATTTAGAAAAAGTACAATGCATTAAACCGTGTTTAGATTTGGGAACAGTTGATGTTAATGTTTGCTGACAGATTTAACATGGTTGGAAAACTGTATGCAATGAGACAGAAAAACTGGCATCGTTGGCAACTGGACGCCCCATTTCCAAACTCCAAGTCATCATCAACCGTGTTGAATGCAACATTTTTGTGTCCCCCGATGGGCAAAGATGGATAAAGGTCTTTGGAATTTGCGTCTTTTGTGCTTTAGTTAAAACAACACTGTCTGGGCTAGAAACAAAACAGCCTTGCGTCTCGGCGGCAGTGCCAAATGGTAGGAATCGAACGTTCAATTGAAACACGTTTAAAATGAAACTATTCGCTCTTTTTGAGAGAAAAAAAACAACCAAACAAAGTCTAAAATAATTAACAGTCACAAAAATATTGCCAGGCTGATCAACTCGAGTTGAGTGCCTTTCAATGCACAATAGAAAGATCTAACGGGCAGCCAAATAAAAAAAATAATAAAATGAGAATCTTAATTTGATGGATTTAAAAGTAAAATTTGACTTTATCAACGGCGGCGTTGAATTACAATAGCAAGGCTTGAGGTAGACAGGAACTCTTGTGAAAAATGTTTGAGTTGTTCACAGCCTCTTGTGTTTGTTTAATAGAAGACCGTCATAACCGTCCCCTTTCGCTCTGATTGCGACAAAGAAATTCCTTCTGGAGTGCGTGTGTTGTGCTAACTGGTATCAATGTAGTTTGTTTTTAGTGTCTATCTATGTAGTTTGTTTTATGCTAAACAGTACCTATGTAGTTCTCGAGTTGTCAGTGGTCAGCACCGGTGTCCCAGTGTTTGCGGGTGAAAATCCTTTTACAGCGTTGAGAGTGTGGGCCATCTGTACATGCAATAAGTTGATAGAATACACTGTCGCTGCCAGCGCACATAGGGATGCCGAGGAGCTGCTGTGTACACAGATTGTAGGGCTGGGGGAATCACTGGGAGCAGGACGTCTTACGTACCTCCTGTTCTGGTACCAGGTTTTGACCTGGGTGTCTGTCAGGTTCAGAGCCGCTGCCAAATCCATGCGGTCCTGCACACTCAGGTACTTCTGCCGCTCGAAGCTGCGCTCCAACTGATTAAGCTGATGATCAGAGAACGCAGTCCGCGCTTTCCGAGGCTTCTTCGCCCGCACGGGCGGACTTTCTCGGCTACTCGTTATTTCTCGGTCGCCTTCTTCTTTTGTTCCTAACGCGAGATATTAAATGCACCGTATGAATCCAAATGCCCGGTAGCACAACACAACATCCTGTAATCTGACTGTTAAAAAAAAGTTCCATTCCCCTGCACCATTTTGCATCTCATTTGCATGTGTAAAATAGCCAGTTGTAGATGAGCAGTTCCAATTAGGAGTGATTTCCAAAGCAATATTTGATGCTGATTTTTTTTAATGTCTGTTTATTATTCAAAAAGACTGCGGATTTACAACGCACAAACAAAAATAAATGTCAGAATTCCCCAAACCAGCGGCCTCCATGCAACGAGAGTTAAACTTGAGAGTGGCTTGTTGTGTTTAGGAGGTTGAAATAGATTTCCACGTACTGGTGGCATCGTTAAGAATTCCGGATACTATTTGTCAACTTTGAGATTTTTTCTGAAATGTTGGGAAATCGATATGTCAATCTATCTCTATTTGTACCAGTTTTTGCGGCGCACTATGATCTTCCCTGCAGGAAGAACAATAATCTTCTCTAATTGACCCACTGGGGAGCTTTGGACAGAAAAATTCGCCAGACCAGACCCTGCATCTGCTTTTTTTCTCTATTATGCTAATCGTAATCACTGAATGAATTATATTAAAAAAAACCTTTTTTCCCATTTACACACAATTTACAACAAACAAAAATGGCTGATACTGATAAAGTCTCATCAGCAGTGGGTTTACGAATGATCATCTTTGTAGCAAAGAAGATTAAGAATGTTTTAAGATCATTCCCTTTAATCGCACATTTTCTTTACTTGTCATATTATAAGCTATTAACGTAATAAATCTACAGGAAAAATGGCCAATTGTATCAATCCCTGGCCATCTCATTCCCCCACTCCCCAAAATTCAAAATCGCTCGTTCTAAAACTGATAACCTTGTGTAATTCCCTGCACTGAATAATCCCAAATTCGGATCAGTAATCGCGGTTTTATTTTTGCATCAGACACTGCAATAATTTCAAGTGAGTAAAGTGAAAAGACACGCTCATTAGGGTTCAGCGAGTTAAAAAAAAAGTAACTAGGCCTGACTTCCTTGCAACGCTCGTTGGCATTTCCCTGGTACAGGCGCCGAACCTTCCTTAGTGCTAGCGACTGGCAATTACATATGCGCCCAGTCTCAAATAGTTTTGCAAAGGGGAGGGAATTTTTGTCTACAGTCTTATTTGGTCGATGAATTTCCCGGCAGAAACCTGGATAAACAAAGGTGACGGGACCCAGTCAGAAGTAAATGTTTAAAGAAACCTTGAACGAAATAGCCGGCATCATTATTAGCTACAGAGAACCTCCCAGCACCCGAGTGTTATCCAACGAAGATCTCAGATTTTTTTCGCCCCCCCACTAAAAACCTGACAGTTCCCTTCCTGCAACCTAACAGCACTTCCAAGACCGAGTTGCAAAAGGGGGAAAAAAAAAACAAACGGAAGCGGCCGCGCTTCTGCACGAGGCACAGTTATATTTAAGGAATGCTAGAATTAAAAAAAAAGACTCACCGTTGCATTTATGGCTGTCGCTTTGAGCGTCATCTCGCTTGTCTAGCTTGTCCCGGTTTTTACCCTCTTCGGGTTCCGTCTTTTGCCTGAAAGGCTCACCCTCTGGTTTGGGAGTGTGGGGTGAGCAGACGCTGGTGCTGTAAGGGGCGCACGCTGCCAGCGGTTTGCTGTCTCCCAGAATGTCTTTAATTAAGAAAGAAGATGTGGAAGTCCTGGGGACAGAGCTGCCTCCTGCCAGTTGCTGCTGCTGTTGTGGTGGTAAAGGAGGCGGCTGCAAACTTTGCTGCTGCTGGTGTTGTTGATGGCGCTGGCTCTCGGCGCTGAGATGTGCCTCTGGTTGCTCCATGGAAATCGGCGAGAGGGGGACCGTGCCCACTGTGTCGATCTCTGAGCTCGGGGACGGCGAGGTTTGATTTCGGAAATCCGAAGTCCTGGTGTCACCGTGACGGAAATCACTGTTCCCCAGCACCGGGCTGCTGGAACCGTTGGACAATATAGTGTCTATTCCAAAACTGGAGCCGCTGGATCCTTCCATCGCGGTTCCCTACAATGTTAGGAGCGGGTCTTCATCACCGCCTAGGACTTTAATGAGAGTTTGCGATTAAGCTGTTCAAAAATCACAAACGTTGATAATCAGTGAGTGAGTGTGTGTGTGTGTTTGTGTGTAGACGAGGGGTGGGGGTTTAGCTAACCCTTCTCCTTATTTACCCTACAGCATCAGATCATTTTAAAATACATTGGAAAAAAAACACGTGCCAGAAACTTTGCTGCACAAAGCTACCGTTGCATTGATTTCTTTTCCCAAAAAAACAAACAAACTTCTCGCGTTAGGAATATGGGGGTGTTTGGAGGGTGGGGATTGGGATAATCCACGAGGACTGAAATCGACAGTGAGCCAACTTTGTTGGAAAAGTTAAGGTGTTGCAGCAGGGATGAAATGAGGAGGAACTCGGAGACTCCAAGCTTCTCTTGCAACTACACCGCTTTTGCAGGGCGACAACTCCTTCCTAACCCGACGTCACGGGCTATTGCAGAGTGTCATTTTTTTTATTATTATTATAATCCAGCGCATATTTTATAACTCTTTCCAGCTATTGGTCTGCCAAGGCCTACCCGGCTGACGTTTCGAGCAGCAAACCAATCCCAGGGACCGTGTTTTATTCTGTCAATTTAGAACAGGCCGCGATCGTCTTTTCGTCAACCCCTGCGCGTTTTGTAACACCGCAAGCTGCACATTCACACACACAGCCACCTCCAACTTTCACCGCACATGGGGAAAAAAAAGGGACAGATTTAAAAGTATCACATTCACCCATGGCCATTGTCTGGGCCTTTCCTCAAAACAAAAGGCGAATTTGAACTGCTGGGGTCAAATTGGCAATTGGAACTGTTCTTCCGGTTATCAATATCCATTTACACATCTTTCCAATTTACAATCGAGGGAGTTACTTCGGAAAGGGCCACCTTTCCGCAAATTCCCACTGCACATGCAACATTTTTTTTTAAAAAAGAAGCAATTTGCATAATCTTCTGCCCCGCCGAATAAGCACCTTAATTGTTGTTTACTTACCAGTTTCAGAGCCAATTAAACCAGGTACTGTTGAAATATTGTCCGCCCTATCTGGGAAATCGTTCGCTTTTCCGAATCAAATGGCACTTTTTTGGGGGGGGGGGGTTGGTGTGGGGACTGAAGGAGGGGAGGAGGTGTAGATGGTTGCAGTTTCATCCTGCCTCCATCAGCAGTGGGAGCGTTACAATCGTATACACACACATACATATATACACACACACATATATATACACACACAAATACACACATATATATACACACACACACATATATATACACACACACATACACACACACCAGAAAGAGGAAGCACCGAAACAAGCGGTTCTTGTAGTCATTGTTCAACTTGAAATCCTGCAACATCCGATATCATTGTCTGCGCGTTGACTCTGTCGTTTAAACTAATGTTAAGGTCATATGTGAATTCCAATACCTAAACTGTCGGATATTTAAATGATAAATAGACGTACTATTTGCTGCACTTCTTTAATTACCTTCATTTCACGTTGTGATTTCGCCCACACTCTGTTCGAATTCCCCTTATTTGCTCGATATATGTGTGCGTCTCTTTAATTGCTCCTTTATTTATTGCGGTGTTTCATCTTGCATTCTTTGACAGACTTCGCTGAAGTTAATTGTTTTTGAAGCGCTGTCCCACCAAAATCGACTTCTGGCACGCCTTGTGCGGAAAAAGAAAAACATGTTTTTTGGCGGATTTGCTGGGGATGAGTTGGGTGAAATTACAGCACTACTGTTTCAGACTATCAACTTGTGTTCATTTCAGTACGCTCTGAAATCTGACTCTTGTTGAATGTCAGAATGATGGGAAGTGCCAGTGACATGACGGCGTATTACTCATGATTAAGTACTGTGTCAGCCTAATTAGCAGGGTAATTATAAGGTGCTAATGAATGATTCAAACTTTCAGGACTTGCATGTTACTTCAGCTTTTCATATCGAGGACTTTTCCGACTAAAGTATCATACCTTTTTCCTGTTGTCGTTCGTATTTTTTTCTCTCGAATTCCATACTTGACAAATTAAATACTCTTACAAGCAAGTCTTCTTAGATTTCAAAAACAGGGAAGCTAGCCGCACTCTTAGTACGCGTTAGAATGATAAATATTGACTACAGTTAGGTCACCTACCTTTGTGGATTATAGTGCTGAGCATTTCTGTGTGTTGCATGTATATAATCGCGCGCGTGTGTGTGCCGGTTCAACTACGACAGAAAGTCGAAATATTGGTTTAGGTAAAGAGAAAGCAAAAAAAAAAGGTATGACTGTATGCCGTGAGGGAAACATTTTGTTTTTTAAAAACGACGTGTTTTCTAAGCTGTAAATAAAGACGAGAAGCATACCTCAGTCAGTTTCCACCTCTCCCTTCTCTGGATAGTTGCATTCAGGAGCCATCTATCCAGCACTACTCTCTGAAGTGCCTTTTAGCTTGGGGTGCGTCTTGTCCTGGATATCCATCACACCAAACCCTTTTTAAAAAACCTGGCCCAGGCCGACACCCGGCTCAAGTTGCTTATTGCTTTCTGTATTGTTGTGACACATACCTGTAAAAATATCTGCAGGTTGCTCGTTTCAAACGTGTCTGATCCTGGTAAGAAATGGGCACATGATGAAATCGCTGGGCTGGGGTCTATTCACCTAAGCAGTCTTGGACATCTCTACACCGGTTTCAGAGGTGATAACAAGCCATAGAGGTGACGATATTTTCACTGAACGCCTGCATTTCTGATATGAGCAAATAATAAACCGTAGGCGGACAGAGATAAATCGAAGAGTTTTTTTTAAACACCAGGACTATTCAAAGGCACGGAGTGGGGAGGGGGGGGGAAATCAATGTTTAAAATGTCTGCATAAATAATTGATAGAAATGTTTGTTTTTTTTTAAATATAACTAAGAGCTGGTGAAACTGCACAGCGCCTATAAGGGTGGTTTTGCCGGCTTCCCAAGCAGCCAACTCAAAGGCCTTGGTGAAATTCGCTGTGGACTTAAGAGTTACAAACTTCACTATCACCTCCTAGCAATCAATCTGTTGGGCCGAGCATTTTAATGGCATCATTATTTTTAAACATGGTTTGAACAGAGTGAAGGACAAGTGAATAATTGGATTGTTATTTGGGATCGAGTGTCGAATTCCAGAAATGTCAAACTACAGATAACAGGCTACTAGCACAGGTTGAAGCGGTTGATCTGCAAACTTCAGTTAGCAGAGAAGTTGGGCGGCTACAGTATAAACCTGCATTTGAAATCGATACATACATAGCCCTGCACGGTTTTCAATCTGAACACTAGTTCCAAATGGCACGCCGGGGGTTTGGTAATTTCACCCCGCTGTAAAGTAGATCCTATGTATCTGTGTGAATGCCCAACCTTCGTGAGAACCAGCTTGTGGACAAATACTCACTTTACTGTGACCGACAAAATAACAATTGCGAGCGAAAACTTGTCAAAAACGACATTCTTTTAGGCTGGATTTAGGATTGGCAATTGATCATGTTGTAGACCCTATAGAGGTAAACCTACAGATATTGATGTGTGGATAAGTCAGAACTGTTTGTCGCTTTTTAACTTCCTACGGAGATTTAACAATTACATTTTATATACAGGGTGCGTTTCTTTTTCCATGGGTTTCATAGAGATAAGAAAACAGCAATTAACATTATTGAAATAAAACACGCTTCTTTCAATAAAATCTGAACCATTTAAAGTAAAATCCACTAATAAAACACAAACATTAACAATAAGGGTATAAACTCTAATGGAGCTCTACTTTAACCAGAATAAATCGACTGCTATTCCTTCGTTCTCTTATCGTCCAATTTATAACAGCTCACACGGCACACAGATCTAATCTATACATCGCACCTGTTGTATCGTGTAACATTGGAAGCTTATTTTTAAAAGTTCGGTTTAGCTTTTAAGATTATCCAAAATGACTATATGATGGTTTGATATGTAAGGCCAGACTGGTCCGGACGCTCAGAGTGAATTATGTTTGACCGTGACTCTTTCAATTCGTGTGAGTTTTTGTACAGAGCATTACTTAGCTGATGTTATTATTTACTTATATTGGCGATTACGCTGTTTTTTAAATGGGAAAATATTAATTTACTGTTTGTTCAAAAATATAATTTTAAAAGGTTCTTTTATGCGAATCTAATATAAAATGACTTGAATTTAATGTAAGTGCTCCATCGTGCTGTCTTTAACATAGACATTGGCTTATGGCACACACGGCTCGTGTAATTCCTTTCTTCAGCATTTAGAAGAGGACAACAACGAGCCTCCCAGCGCATACTGCGCCTGTATTCCTAAAATAGCGCCAGCGGCCCGCTGCACCTTGGCGTACAAAGCGCCGGCGTTCCCAACACAAGCACTATCAATAATTACTGCTTATTAATATCCCGCTGATGACAAATCGACAATCCCAGGGGCACTTCCTGAAGATAAACATGTTTTCTTAGCTGATCATGCCTGAGATTGATGTCTGTCATGTCATGTTTCTCGCAGGGTAAAGGCCCCGTCTTATTCCAAACAGCTCTCTCCCAACTGACGAGGGTGTGATTTCTTTAGCGGCTGCTGGGTGGCGCCAGTTGACGTACTCTGCCAGATGAAGGCACGGTGTGTCTGTGTATGTGTGTGTGTGTCTGTGTGCGTGTGGTAAACCTCCCGGTCCAAACTACACATCTTAATTTGAGCATTTCATCTACGCGATAATGAGTTTCCGAAAAGATTGTAAACGCCTCTGTCGAGATGCGTGTGTAACTAGATACTAAAGGATGCAATATATTTGCAGTACCTAATTGCTTAATGGAATTCCATATTAAAGTTTGTAATATGTTACTCCGCTTTAGAAAAAAAAACAATTCAAACTTACAAATGTTAAAATTAGTTCTTTTGCCAAAATTATTTATGCTACATTACGTGCTACTGAACATTCATCATTCAAGC